TTTGGATCTTATCAAGGATCTCAAGGTAAATAGCAGAAGCACCGACCCATATGTGGCAGCAATATGAGGGGAAAAGGACGGTCTTCTTCTCTTTTAACGTTAAACTTAGTTCGCCACAAACAATGACCCAAACATACAATATTCCTTTCACCAAAACAACGCATTCTTATCATTCTTACTTCATCCACCATAACATCTCAGAATCTCCATGAGATCTTAACGAGTCCCCATATGTACAATTCATTGTCGGAGGCGGGGGTGTCGAGAAAACAACAATTTAAAATCTAGCCCCATAATGAAGAGCAATATTTATTCTGTTATCTACAGAAATGTGGCACAAGGCCGAAAAGAGGTTTGGGGAAAGGACGGTCTTGTTCTGTCTTAACTATAACTTAGCTAGCCGCAAACACTGACCCAATCGTACGAACAATATTCCTTGCACCAAAACAACACATTCATATGTACCTTTCTTACTACATTCACCATAATACCTCTTTGTCTCTATGAAAATACTAACTAGTCCCCATATTTACAATTCATTGTCTGTTGGGGGGGGGAATAAAACAACAATTCTAAAAGTTAACCCCAATGAAGAGCAATATTTATTCTGCTTAATACAGAAATGTGGCACAAGGCCAAAAAGGGGATTGGGGAAAGGACGGTCTTCTTCTGTCTTAAGTATAACTTAGCTTACCCCAATGAAGAGCTCATTCGAACAATTACCATAATATTATTTATAGAAAATACAGGTAACCTTAGGGCGGTGGGAAAGGGACTTGAGCTGAGCTGCCAGATCAGGACCAATAATATTGCAGATTCTTTGGATCTTATCAAGAAGCACAATGTAAATAGCAGAGACACCGGATCATATGTGGCAGGAATATTCTAGGCATGAACGAATGGTAGACTTATAGATATGCAAGATAGATTCTGGATAGAAAAAATGTCTCGATCGACATAATGAACTGACTTTCTTAAGAGCTGACCTAGCAATGGATTCAATATAGGCTTTCATAGCAACTGAGAACGTGAGCCCGAGAAGGCGCAACGCGTCATCTTACTTTAGGATAGCATCGCCATGATATCGGGTTCTATAGCCTTGGACGGCAACTGATCAAGCACAAGGGTTATTTCGGATGATTAATGGAGTTTAGTTTTGAAGGCGTTTAAATTGACAATCCATTTTTTGCCCCAGTTAACTATGGACTTCAAGTCGTTTTGGACACCAGCTGCCATTTTGATCATATCAGATGGATAAGACTTACTATCCAGGCAGGAGTATATTGTTGTGTCGTCAACCTCAGATGCCAAGTTGAGAGCTGATATCATCAGGAAGGTCACTACTGAAAATTAAAATCAGAGTACGACCAATGATGGAATCCTGGGTGACACTTGCGTTAGTAGGAAAGGATCTAGACGAGTGGCCGTTCAGGATAAATTTCATTTCATGTTTTGATAGAAAAGAATGTATTACTTCAGAAACTGACCAGAGACACCGTAACTTTTCAACATGTGAAGAAGACCTGAATGTCAGACCCTGTCAAAGGCTTTCGAGATATCCAAAGCCACAGCCCAGGCTTCACCGATCTAGAGCATTATAAACTGTTTCCATAAATATCGTCAGTACATCATCAGTTGGCCAGGAAAACTGGAAACCATATTGCTGGTCTGAGAAAATGCTCTGCGATGAGAGATGATGAACCAATTCAGCGTTGATTAGGGACTCTAGGAGTATCGTAAAAAGGTGTAGAAAACTAATAGGCCGATAGTTGGATGGGTCAGATGGCTCACCAGAGTTCTTAAAAACCTGGAACAACAGATGATGACTTCCAGCAAACAGGAAAACAGGAGGCAGCGAGGCATTTATTACGCAGTTTAGAGAGAAGAGACAGTTTGGGAGCACAATGACTATTTCAGCGATAACATCGCGTCCGCATGTCTTGTGGAGATCAAGGTTAGAGATTACAGCAAAAACCATGGAAGGAGTTATATGCATATCATTCAACAGAAACTCAGTTCTATGAGGGAAGTTACGCGGGGATATTCCGGGTGAGTCAAGAATAGAGTTTGAGGATAATTTACGGGCAAAGTATAAGCAGAGGAGGATAACACCTCATATTGACTGAAGAGGGCTGGAATAGAAACCTTGCACTTATTTAGTACCTTATTAAAGAACCTGATAGACCAAAGTTGCTTGAGACTATGGAATGCCTCAGTCTCTCGGCAAACATGGACGTTGTTCCTTCGAAGACTCGCTTACATTTTTTACGAGCAGCGTCGAAGACCAACCTGTTGTGACGATATGAGGCACGGTGGAGTAATGGATAGCGGCTCGGATTGAGGAATCGGAGAGCTGAGTTCGAATTCCATTCGAATCTATTACATATATTTACGTGCTAATAACCTTGGAAAAGGTATGAATCCTCTTCTTCTCCCTCCAGCTATGGGTAAATAGCAGGCTAGACGGGATTCTATAGCATTAGCAACTGGTCTATCGTAGAAAGAAATGGCAACATACTGCGGGAAAAAATCTGCCTCGTCAGTCATGTATCGAAATATACATGATCGTCTAAGCACACGACTGACTGATATTCATTTCTGTGTTAATACCACTAGGAAAGATATTAGCCCTCCTCTTCTCACCTCAGTTATAGGTAAACAGTAGGACAAACCGGGTTTTATAGCCTTGAATGACAACTGATCTACTGTAGAAAGAAATGGCAACCTACTACTAATACCCTTGGGAAAGGTATGAATCCTCCTCTTCTCCCCTCAGCTATGGGTAAATAGTAGGACAGACCGGGTTCTATAGCCTTGGATGACAACTGGTCTGCCATAGAACGAAATGGCAACCTACTGAGGCAAAAAATCTGCCTCGTCAGTCATGTATCGAAAGATACATGATCGCCTAAGCGTGTTTCACGCATGGCACATAACTGACTGATATTCACTTACGTGCTCATACCCCTGGGAAAGGTATGAATCCACTTCTCCTCCTCCCAGCTATGAGTAAATAGCAGGACAGACTGGGTTCTTTAGCCTTAGATGGCAACTGGTCTACCGCAGAAAGAAATGGCAACTTACTGCGGGGAAAAAAATCTCCCTCGTCAGTCATGTATCGAAAGATACATGATCGCCTAAGCGTATATCACGCATAGTAATTAACTGACTGATATTCACTTACGTGCTAATACTCTTGGGAACGGTATGAATCATCTTCTTCCCCCCTCAGCTATGGATAAATACCAGGACAGACCAATTGGTGTAAAAGATTGCCTTCCTTAAAATAATATTATTCACCGAATCACGACTTGGATTAAGGAATCAGCGAGCATTGTTAAAATTCTAGTTGGGTTCATTGCATTCACTTACGTGCTTGGGAAAGGTATGAATCCATCTCCACGTAACTATTGATAAAATAGCTGAACAGGTTGGGTCCTTTAGTCTAGGAGAAGGGAACTTTGAATTCAAACCACCTTGCAGGTCCTGCCTATTTAGGCGCAAACAAATCCACTGATAACCACAAAACCAAAAGGCAAAAGGAACCAGCAAGCCATTGCATTATTTTGCCTTCAATATCACCATGAACCACAATTGTGTGGCGGAGGTCAGTGCCGACCACATCGGCGCAAAAAGTGGTAACTGAATAAAATGAATGATTGTACACCAAGTACAAGACACGAAAGCCACTCAATGTAGTGCGCTAGTTGTAGAACGGGAATTGAGCCCACGTCACAGTGAATTGATCAGGTATCTGAATTCGTCAAATCCACCAAGCAGAAAAACTTTGTCATCTCAAGTCCACCGTGTAGAAGATTCTTCAATATTTCACGGGATATGCTAATAGCTTTGCCTATTTGAATTATAGCCAATAGCCTGTCATCTATCACCATCCGGTGAACACGATGGCAGTCGCAAGATATCTAGACGTTGGGGCATCTTCAAGATTCTCACTTCTCCTCCTAACCACAGCTGCCCAGTATCGCATTGTTGATAGGGCAGTGACGTCATCCCCTAATATCACATGTCAGGATGAATATCCTCGGGGGCTAATCCATTTTTCTTGTCAATCTTCAAAAGAAATGGCTACTTGTTATTTTTGAAGTCTTCTTTGAACAGTCAGAGTTCATTTTATCTGGATATGAACAACGCCGTTATTAATAAGAAGAGTTGAAATGAATGCATGCAAGATTTCACAGCTCAAGCATCACTCCTTCATAGTCAGCCTCTGAAAGTTTCAGCCTACCCTCGTACCCGAAAAAAAAAACTATGCAGTTATTAATAAGAGTTGAAATGAATGCATGCAAGATTTCACAAATCTAGCATCACTCCTTCATAGTCAGCCTATTGACTTTTCAGTCCACTTTCGTACCTGGAAGGAATCAATGTTGTTATTAATAAGAAAAGTTGAAATGAATGCATGGAAGATTTCACAAGTCTAGCGTCACTCCTTCATAGTCAGCCTATAAACTTTTCAGCCCACCTTCGTACCTAGAAGGAAACAATGAAGACCTTAATAAGAACTTTTCAGCCCACCCTCATATATTAATGTTTTTTTTTTAACTACAAGAATAGGGAGTTGCATTCAATTCGAGATCGTGATGTGTCAATAATGAGGATAAATAAACATATTCGTGTCTTTTATTTATAAATATTGATGGAGGATGTAGCATTATGCTCGTCATATTTATTTAAAGAAAAAATTAAATATATTTATGCTTGTTGCCATACAACATAGAGCGATACATATTGTTACGTTTTATTCGGTTACTTTACTTGCAATTTAATTCAAGAAGGTTGCGTGGCCCGAGTGCTTGCGATAATTACAAGACCTTGATCCAAAGCATGCTATTATTCTTACTCGCTGGGGAACAAGAATTTTTTTTTTTTCATTTTTTTTTTCTTTTTTTTTTACCCGGGTCCATTAATCCAAGACAATTAATGCTCAATTCGGCCATAGTACCAAAATCCCAAACGTCTTCGAGGAATTCCAAATCCCAATGTCTGAATATAAGAAACTATTTCTTATTGCCATTCTTCTTTCGTGTTTGTGTTCCTTATATTTATTTATTTTCTAAAGGAGGCACAATGTAAGAAAAAGCGGTAAAGGTGTACAAAGTGTTGGCGGATAGGACACACAAAATGGACGAAAGCCATAAAAAGAGAGATGGATGTTTTGGGCTAATCTTAAGGGAAGAAAGAGGAACATTAACCTGATTGCTAGCCCCCAGAATCAATCATACGCCACACCTTTTCTTAAAAAGACGGGGAGAAAAAGCGAAACATTTCCACCAACGACGTTACCCAATCAGTTTTTACATTCTTTTTATTTATTTATTTATTGTGCACCACTCCCAGCTTTTATTGCTCTCTTTCTCTCTCTCTCTCTCTCTCTCTCTCTCTATTTCTATCTCTCTCTCTATCTCTCTCTATCTCTCTCTACATTTTAATGCCTCTCTTCCTTCTCTTTTTTTCTCACTCTTTTTCTTTCTAAGTCTCACTCTTTTTCTTTTTAGTTTTCTTTTCTTTTTCCTGTCCTCCTCTCTCTTCATTATTGCATCATTCTTTTCCCCTCTTTTGCTTTTTTCTTTCTGTATATCTTCTCGTTATCAATTCTCTTCATCTCTTTCTCTCTTTATCCTCTCTGTTATCTCTTTCTTTTTTTCTTTCTTTCTTTCTTTCTTCCTTTATTCATTCTTATATATCTATCTAAAATCGTATATTTACCTCTCTTTTCCTTATTGCGCCTTTGTTTTTTTCTTTCCTTTCTTTCATTACCTCTCTTTCGTGCCCCTCTTTTTCACTGTTCTTCTCTTGGTTTTCCTCTTTCTTTCTTAATTTCTTTTTCTTTTTATTATTTCTTTTTTTGCGGTCTTTTCCTCCTCTCTCTCTATCTCTTACTGTGTCTTCCTCTCCCTCCTTTTCTCTCCTCCTACCACAGTCTTTTCTTCTATATTTCACCTTCTTCTTTCCTCTCTCCCCTTCTCTCTATTTTCTTCTATTTTTCTTTCTCCCTCTTCTGAGTCATCCTCCCTGTTCTTTTACTTATCCCACGATATTTATCCGTCTTTCTCTTTCTGTCTTTTTCACCCTCTCTCTTTCTCAATGTTTCCTTCTGTCTCTTTTTAAAAACTTTCTTTATGTTCTACCCTCTCTAGTCTTCCTCTTTCGCACATACGTTTTCCACATCCCCCCTTCTTCTTACTTCCCCTCTTCACTTTTCTTTTCTGTCTCTCTTCATTTTCTCTCTCTTTTGAGCCTTACTTTCTCTCTGTTTCACTCCGTCTTCTTTTTCGCCTGTCACTCTCTCTTCTCGCCTATCTCAATCACTCTCTTTCTTTCTCTATGATTAATCTTCTCTCTTTAAGTTCTTCCCTTTCACTATTTCTCTATGGCTATTTTTTTCTTCCTTTCTATCTCTCACGCCCTCTTCTTATATATTCTTCCTCCTCCCCTTTTCTTTCTTTCTCATTTCATCTTTTTCCTCTCTGTCTTTTTGTGTTTTTACCTCTCTTTTTCTCACTGCACCTCTCCCTTTTATTTTCTTTCTTTATCATTTCCTTGCCCCTCATTTTCACCGTTTTTCTCCCCCTTAATCTTTGTATAATTTGCCTTTGCCTCTTTCTTTTTTTCTTTTTACTCTTTTTTCCTCTTTCTCTTTTTCCGCTTCCTCTTTTTTTTCCTCGTCCTCTTTTTTTCCATTTTCTCTTTTTTTTATCTTTCAATTCTTTCCTTTTTCTCTATTTTCGTCTTTCTCTTTTTTCCTCTTTTTTTTAAATTTTTTTCTCTTTCTCTTTTTGCCTCTTTCTATTTTTCCTATTTCTCTTTTTCCTTTTTCGCTTTTCCTCTTCCTCTTTTTTCCTTGTCCGTTTTTCTCCTCGTCCTCTTTTTTCCACGTTTTCTTTTTCTTCTATTCCTCTTTTTCCTATTCCTCTTTTTCCTCTTTCTCTTTTTTCCTCTCCTTCGTTTTCCCTCTTTCACTTTTTTCTCTTTCTCTTTTTCTTATTCCTCTTTTTTCCTCTTGCTCTTTTTTCTTCTTCCTCTTTTAATATAGAACCAACGGTTTCATCTCGCCATTTCAACTGTAAAATAAAGAAACCTTGCCACCAATCTCGTATTGAACTTAAAGTCCAGCTACCAAAAGTGGAAAGGTCATGAGGACAATTATTACCAGTCACACACACAACGACTCTCTTTCCTTCACTGTGAATCTTCCTTTCTTTCTTTCTTCCTTCCTTTTCTCTTGTCATTGTTTTTCATTCTTTCTTTCTTTCCTTCGCTCTCAGTCTTGCTTTTTCTTTCTTTCTTTTTTTCTTTCTCACTCGCCCTTTCTTTTTCTTTCTTTGTTTCATTCTTTCTTCCTCTCTTAGTTTTGCTTTCTTCTTTTTTTCTTTCTTTATGGCCTTCTCTCTTGTTCTTGCTCTTTTTTCTTCTCTTTCTGGTTGCTTTCATGTATCCTGGAATTAACACGTATTCACTCTATTTTCTTTCTTTCTTTCTTTCTTTCTTTCTTTCTTTCTTTCTTTCTTTCTTTCTCTCTCTCTCTCTCTCTCTCTCTCTCGTTTTTCTTTCCATTTTTGTATTTCACCCATTTAGGTTTTTCTCTCTTTTCATCTTACATTGTTTTCCTCATCTTTCACTTTCTTCTATTTCCATAGCGATCATTCCACTCACTCATGTTAACACTGTAATATCAGGTCATCCCATAAGTTCTGTCCAAATTTTGAATAAAGAAAACAAGTGACCAATTATTACATTTAATTACAGATTCAATCAACAATTTATTTTTCCTGATTATCTCTGACTTCCTTCCATCTATTAACAAGCTTACTAATTCCATTACTGTAAAATTCTTTTGGCTTTCATTCGAAGAACTCACAAATGTCAGTTTTAACCTCTTCCTGTGTTACAAAAGCTGTTTCTTCCAAATGATTCTGTAAGCTACGAAACAAATGGAAGTCTGAAGGAGCAAGATCGGGAGAATAAGGTGGATGAGGAATTTTCTCCCAACCAAGTTATTCGATCTTTTGTGACATGATTCTTGCTGTGTGTGGTCGCGCATTGTCCTGATGAAACATCACTTCTTTTCGATTCACTAGAGCAGGTCTTTTTTTCCTCAAACGCTCTAATTGCTGACAGTATATTTGATCATTAATTGTTGCATTAGGTGGTAAGAATTCAAAGTGGATTATTCCTTGGCGATCCCACCAGATTGAAAGAAGAACCTTTTGCTCATGAAGTTCCTTTCTCGGCTGTGGCTGGGGTCCTTCCCCTTTAACAAGCCACTGTCTACGGCGCTTAACATTTCGATAAAAGATCCATTTTTCGTCGCCAGTAACAAGTCTATCTAAAAAATGTGAAACAAGTTGGCGAGAATGGAGAGAAGAGCAGATGTCAACTCGGGATTTGAGGTTGTTTTCAGACAATTCATCAGGCACCCATTTTCCAAGTTTAGGAACTTTTTCAAGTTGTTGAAGATGACGATAAACAGTTGTATGGTTTGAACTGAGAAACACTGCCAATTCCTCAACTGATAAAGCAGGATTTTCTTCAAGGGCTGCTTCAAGAAGCTTTTCATCAAACTCAACTGGACGTCCGGTTCGATCTTCATCTTCAAGGGTGAAATCTCCACCTCTGAATTTTGCAAACCATCTTCTGCAAGTTCTTTCATTCACACATTCCTCTCCATAAACTGAGTGAATGTTTCTAGCCGCTTCAGCTGCTGAGTTTCCTTTCTTGAACTCATAAAGCATTATGTGCCTCAAATGATTCTTGGGTACTTCCATGTTAGCAGGGTTTTAATCAAACAAAATTTAATTTTATTGTTCTCTGAAATAAACTTTGATCAGTTTAAATGCATCTAAACATAAAAATAATGTTCAGCTCCATTAGACATTATAAAATACTCTTTAAATTTCGTTCATTTTAAAAAATAGGTAAAATTCGAACAGAACTTATGGGATGACCTGATATGTAGGACCACAATTACACTACCTTAGGTGCTGTGTTGGTGAGTTCCGTAGCAACTGGGTTTTTACAGGGTGAAACCCGACGCGCGCGTTGTTTTTAATTCAGAATTGTCCTTCTCCAAGAGCGGTTTTCAAACAAATATTCTACGGATATGAAAGCCAGTTTGATCTGCTTTTTAACCCGTAGCAAGGTGGGTAGAAGGCTATTTGTGAGAAAGCGAATGCAACGGCTCGGTTTGCATTTGGTCTTTGTAACCAGACACAGAAAGGAAGCCACAGGAACGCCTATAAAAAAAAGAAGTGAAGGGAAACACGAAGAAAGGACTAAGCAACAATTGTAACAAGACAAAATATATGGTTGTCAGCAAAATGAACAGCCCAACATGCAAATTGCAAAATGGAGATAGCAAATTCAATTTAAATATCCGGGATAGCCAAAGGTGCCTTTCAAAAGCTGAGTAAAGTATTAAGAATCAGAAAAAAATTTGTAAAAACAAAGAAAAGAGTTTTGAACTGTTATATAATATCAGTCCTCCTATATGGCATTGAATATTGAAACGTTCTAAGAGCAAACACTCAAAGTATACTACGGATAAACTCAGGAAATCTTCAGAGTATAACATTAAAATATTCGACGAAGAAACACTTGAAATGTTCTAAGAGTAAACACTTAAAATATTCTACATATAAACCCTTGAATTGTTCTAAGAATAAACATTTACAATATTCTACGGATAAACACTTGAAGTGTTCTAAGAGTAAACACTTAAAATATTCTACGGGTAAACCGTTGAATTGTTCTAAGAGTAAACACATAAAATATTCTACATATAAACCCTTGAATTTTTCTAAGAATAAACATTTACAATATTCTACGTATAAACACTTGAATTGTTCTAAGAGTAAACCCTTAAAATATTCTATGTATAAACCCTTGAATTGTTCTAAGAATAAACATTTACAATATTATACGTATAAACACTTGAATTGTTCTAAGAGTAAACACTTAAAATATTCTACGGGAAAACGTCAAACTGTTGTAAGAGTAAACCCTTAAAATATTCTACGAATAAAAACTTGAAATGTTCTAAGATTAGACGGATAAACACTTGAAATGTTCTAAGTCTAAACACTTAAAATATTCTACGGATAAAGTCTAGAAATGTTCTAAGAGTAAATACTTGAAATATTCTACGAATAAACACTTGATATGTTCCAAGGGTAAACACTTAAAATATTCAACTGATGAACACTTAAGATAGTCCAAGAATAAACACTTATAATACTCTACGGATAAACCCTTAAAATGGTCTAAAAATGAACTATTAAAATGTTCAATGAATAAACCTTGAATTGTTCTGTTAACTTTTAAAATATCCTGAAGATAAAGCCTTGAAATTCTCTATGTATTAACCCTTCTAATATTCAACGGTTAAACCAGTGAAATGTTGTAAGAGTAAGCCCTTAAAATATTCTACGGATAAACACTTAAAGTATTCTGAGAGGAAATTATTACAATATTCAACGAGTAAACCCTTGAAGTATTCTAAGTTTTAACTCTTAAAATATTCTAGAGATAAACCCTTTAATTGGTCTGGATGCAAACCCTTTATTATATTCTACGGATAAACACTTAAAATATTGTGAGAGGAAATTATTACAATATTCAACGAGTAAACCCTTAAATTCTAAGTTTTAACTCTTAAACCCTTTAATTGATCAAAACCCTTTATTATATTCTACGGATAAACACTTAAAATATTGAGAGGAAATAAAATATTCAACGAGTAAACCCTTGAAGTATTCTAACTCTTTATTCTAACCCTTTAATTGATCTGATGCAAACCCTTTATTATATTCTAGGATAAACATATTGTGAACCAATTTCAACGAAAACCCTTGGTTTTAACTCTTAAAATATTCTAGAGATAAACCCTTTAATGCTACGGATAAACACTTAAAATATTGTGAGAGGAAATTATTACAATATTCAACGAGTAAACCCTTGAAGTATTCTAAGTTTTAACTCTTAAAATATTCTAGAGATAAACCCTTTAATTGGTCTGGATGCAAACCCTTTATTATATTCTACGGATACAGACAGACAGACAGAGACTCTTTTCTTTTCCACAGCGCCAGCGTTCCGCTTAATAAATAATTGTTATTGTTAGTTCTATAAATCTATGTCTATGTTTTATTCATGTTTTTGTACTTAGAGGCATTGATAACTTAGTACTGACGAAACCAAATCGCATCACACCGTCAATAAACTGATGAAACACTTTTACGCCCTAAATTTGTATATCCAATCTCTAACCGTTTTTTTTTTTTGTTTTTTTATCGGAAAGGTTTCTTATTTTTAAGCACCCACATAGTATAGGTAAAAAATACTGTTCTCTTTTTAACTTTTAAATCGGAAATACGAAAGACGTCAGAGTATTGCTTGAAAATATCAGAAAAAAAATGTATTTATTTATTTATTAATGAAGAATTGATTTTATTTATTTTTTTGGTAATTTTCAGGCGATTTTTCCTTCTTGAAGGATGAGATGTTCTGGTGGCCTTAATTCAATATAAACGATATCTCTGTCGTCACACATCTGGAACGAACATTGTTAAACATTCTATTGCTTGCTGGAGGCCGCACGCCTTATCGTCAATAGAATCTCAAACAGTGATGAAAGCATTGCATACTGTTAAACGTAGAAAACATGGCCGCCTTTTCCAGCGATACCAAATAGTATCGGTACATATAGAAACTGAGCAGCTGCCTAAAAAAAACACACACACAGATACACGCACGCGCACATACACACACGTATACATACATACATACATACATACATACATACACACACACACACACACACACACATATATATATATATATATATATATATATATATATATATATATATATATATTTGGTTGGATTGATGTGAGTTTGTGACCCTGGGTTTCACGCTTTTGCGATCGTCAGACAAACTGATTAATTTTTTAAAAAATTTGGGTTTCTGTAGATTGCGTGTATTGGTGTTATTATGGAAGTGGGGGGGGGAATCGTCGTCGTGATGTAATCGTGCTAACGCAAACATAGATGCATGTCCGTACACCCGATGAGGTACGCAGATACACATACACACACACTCGTTCGTCCGCCGGTGCTCATACATATATAAATATATGTGGACAATTTCGGATTTTTTTAAAAAAATGAATCAGACGATCGCTAAAGCGTGAAACCCAGGGTCACAAACTCACATCAATCCAACCAAATATGTTAGCTCTATCTCTGATATTGAGCGCTTTCTAATAAGTACCATGCATATATAATATATAAATAATATATATATATATATATTTATATATATTTATTTATTTATATTTACACACACACACACACACATATATATATATATATATATATATATATATATATATATATATATGGACTCTTTCGTCGTTTTTACGACGTATGAGGGTCAAGCAACTCAGTTTCTAGAACCAGCAGCCAGATACCTGGCCATATGATTTGATTATAGCGGTGAATTCTTTGTGCAGAACCACCCAAACATTTTGAAGGGTCCAATACAGAGACCTGATGCAGTATATGCCACAAGGTCCCCAAACAACCCTCAGGTTTTGAATTCAGAACCGTCCTTCTCCTAGACCAGTATCGCTGTGGAGTAGTGGATAGTGGCTCGAACTGAGGAATCGGAGAGCCGAGTTCGAATTCCAGTTGAATCCATTACATTCACTTACGTACAAATACCCTTGGGAAAGGTATTAATCCTCCCACCAACTATGAGTAAATAGCAGGACTGACAGATATATATATATATGTGTGTGTGTGTGTGTGTGTGTGTATTTCTGCATACAACATGTGAAACTACGTGCAATACCCTACCTTAATCTACCTTAATCAGCCGCCAACCAGGGGAAGTAACAAGGCGGCACTGCCACCCCTGACGCCTCCAACAGCTTTTGCCACGGGACAGGGTATTGTTTCTTATTATAGCAGTGCCAGTCTCTGCGATTTTTATGCAGCTGCAAGTCAGATTTTCAACGCTGTGTTCAATAAAAGAGTTTGCTTTTGATCGTTAAACAAAACACAACGCGCTCGTAGTGACTGTTAACATTGACATTCAATAGAAAGGAAACAGATGTGTTTCACATCGAAAGTAGCATTGTATTATAATAATTGTCTTAAATAAATCTGTTTATTTTGGATCTTGACCACATCCAACTCGATGCCTGTTGAGCTGTGGTGTGGAGACGATGTGATGCACTCTTCGGGCACCGGCAAGTGATTCACACATTCAACGAGCGTCGCAGAGTCCAAACAAACTGACTCTCTCTCTCTCAAGTCATAAGCGACAGCAACTCGTGTGACGGCTTTTGCTTTTTTTCAAGCAAGCGACCACTGCTTATCGTCTGGCACGCCTAACGAGATATATTCTAGAGGGTTGAATGGAATTCACTTTGTGTTTTGAACGGTTTTAATCTAATGACACATGCGCGTCAGGCATCCGACCGGGGTTTGCGCAACTTTGTGAGATTGTGGCCCGACTACCCGCCTGTTGTACCTGTGGACGCTGTGGACCCGACCAGCTGACCATTCCGTGCCTCCGGGCAAGCACGCGGTAGCAAGTAATCGAGTTCACTTGGTCTGTACGACTTTGTGATGGGCCCGCCCGTGGAACCACAGGCCATGGTTAGCACTCGACAGACTGGCCGACCACGCGGAAGCAAGGAATAGTCCAGTTCATTTAGTTTGTCCGACTTTGTGAAATTGTATTTCGTAGTTGTCACGCAGAGACTGGTCCGCATCGCGCAGCCGGCCATGGTTCGCGCTCAACCATGCTGCGTGGGATCCCAAGCCGCTGTGCGCTCGACTGGGTAATCACCCAGCGTCTTCCGCACGAGCGCATTTTAGCTGGTAGTTTATTTCACACTGGTCTCTCCTAAATACTCAGTTGCCAGAAGTTCTGGACTATCACGATCAAGATTCTTAACAAAGGCAACTCATCTGAGGTTATTCATCATATTTCATATACTTATCGAAAAAAAAGACCAAGGTTGGTTTGATTGTTCTTTTTCTTTAGCGGCATATCAACAACACAAGTGTTTATTTAATGCCGAAATCTAAATATTTTGTACGCAATTCCATTTTATTTTTTATGATAATAATGGTTTTAGTGATACAAGTATTAATAATTAACCCATAGCTGGGGAAGAAGAGATGGATTCATACATTTCCCAACGGGATATGGAACTCGGCTCTCCGATTAACAATTCCGAGCCATTATCCATTTACACAACCCGCACATTCAAGCTTACAGCACCTGGTATTCCAATGTGGTTACTCATCTAGTTTACTGACCAGGTTCTATATTGCTTAACTTCGTTGATCTTACGAAAACCGGTGTTTCAACGTGATATGGCCGTAAGCCGGAAATGGACAAGAACTTTGTCTCAAACGTTACGCAAGACGACCACCAACTGACTTTCCTTCGTCCACAGAGAATAAGCATTGTAGACTTTTTATCACGTCTTAATAAGTTTCAAGACTCCTCGAAAAATATTAAAATCATGACATTTCAAAGGCTACTGATCCAGAGAAAAAGCCCGTTGTTGTACTTAAGATCATCAGCGCTGAATTAATCCTAGCAAATTAGTTTAATTGTTGCCTGAAGCGTTTCAAAGTCTGTGGAAGATGTCAGCCTTGTTCTCAAGAATGGTGATGACCGTTCATCCCCAGATCACGCCACTAACCTCTTTAGTGTCATCAGCATATTATTTGAATGTATGCTCAAGGAGGTAGACTCACCACTTCACTGAGCTACGAATAGTATGTGTTTCATTCTTGTAGCCAACGCTGATGTTTTAAATTTGATCGCCTATCGAATAAATGATGGCAGCTTCGTCACCAGATTGACATATAAAAGTGGTGACGTATGGAGCAAACTCTCCAGTTATGATATCTCTGGAAGTATACGGGAATTATAAGGTCCTTTATCTCAAGTAGTACAACGAAACAATGCAAGCGTCCCTGCCCCAAAGAACCTCTTTTCACTCCTACGCTTTTTCTGGTTTCTTTTTTTTTTTTTTTTTTCATTAACGATCTGCTTGGGTATATTCTCAGATCATTAGTAAATATATATGCTACTGATATGAGATTTTATGGGAGTATCTCTAAAATTCAAGATATTCGGAGTGTTGCATCTGATCTCTCCTCTGACCACGCTCTTACAGATCAATGGGGAAACAAAACTGCTTATTCCAATTATAATGAGGTGCGTTACTCTGTTGGAATTCAGTTTTTGAAATGATTTCATCTCAAGAAAGACACTAAAGACACAGGAGGTTACCGAGTGCGAAAGAATAAAAGAAGAGGATTCAAGAAGACGGTACATAACGGTTTACATGGTATTTAAATTGTTTGAAAATCAGGAAAACGGGAGATAGTTGCATAGGCGAGAAAAGAAAGTATAAGCATAGAACTTGCGTTTGCATCTGTTGTTCAAAATAGCAAGAATTAGGAAGGCCGTAAGTAGAGAAAGTATCCAAGGAACAGGAGGATATATAGGGAAAACAAAGAACAAGAAGTTTTATTAAATACTCATATACAGAACGGAAATATTTGAGTAAATCAACTACTCCTCAAATCCTGCTCTAACGTAGCTACTTGCCATATTTATAAGCAGGAACAGTCTATTGTCACCGTAGTGGTCAAAAGATTAGTTAGATGAAACAAAAAAAGGAGTTTTATCAAATACTCATACAAAGAACGGAAATATTTGAGTAAATCAAATACTCCTCAAATCCTATTCTAATGTAGCTACTTGTCATATTTATAAGTAATAACAGTCTATTGTCAATGTAGTGGACAGAAAACTTGTTAGATGAAACAAAGAATGGGAGTTTTATTAAATTATCATAAAATCTATGGCATATATATATATATATATATATATATATATATATATATATATACAGTGTAACCCGGATATAAGAGACCTGGATATAAGAGAAACCTGCATATAAGAGAGATTTTCTCTGGTCCCAAATTAGAGCCTGTGTTAATGTATATAAAATAGACCAAATCCGGATATAAGAGAAACCCGGATATAACAGACTTCTTCTTCGGTCCCGACAACTCTCTTATATCCGGGTTACACTGTATATATATATATATATATGTGTGTGTGTGTGTGTGTGTGTGTGTGTGTGTGTGTGTCATAGATTTATACATACTTTTTATATACAAGGGCAATACTAGGGAAATTAATGAAAATGTGTCAAAAAAAGATTTTTTTTTTTTTCTGGTAGATCGTCAATTATGACAATGTGGCTTCCTTAATAATGAAAGGGATAAAAATAGAAACAAAAAAACAACATGCAACTGGTGAGGGTATATACACAAACACATAAAAAAGAATTTAAAAGTTTAAAATTTCAGTTTCCTCTCCTCTTCATGTGCAAAAAACGACAGACAAGGTACTTCGGTTAAGCTTTTTATTTACACACACACACAAACACACATATATATATATATATATATATATATATATATATATATATATATATATATATATATATATATATATATTTTGCATGTTTCATTAAAAACGACAGACAAGGTACTTTCGGTTAAGATTTTTTATTTAATTTTTCTTGTGTTCGAACAAGAGCTTTTTTTTTCTGGACAAAGGGGTGTGTAAGAACTGTCCAAATGTTTTATATTTCCGAGCGCTTTCGGCTATAGCTTTAGCCATTATCAAGGATGATTCGATTTTTCAGCTTAATTGAGTGTGTGAATTATGTGTATGCCTTAGTGTGTAGTAGGGATGATTTAATTCAGGAATACGGTTAGCACATTATGGCCTTGTTCGTAGTTAATATTATTAAGAGTTGGCTTTTTTTATTATTAAAGCTTCCATTATTTCTAATAATTTTTACAGGTGGATGCAGTTAATATATTTGTGTTTTTTTCTACTAGTATGTTTCTAATGGAGTCTGATATATATATATATATATATATATATATATATATATATATATATATATATATAGTTGCATATTTAGGCAGCAATCCTTCCTTTATGCATGTTTCATTAAAAACGACAGACAAGGTACTTCGGTTAAGCTTTTTATTTAATTTTTCTTGTGTTCTAACAAGAGATTTCTTTCCTGGACAAAGGGTGTGTAAGAACTGTCCGAATGTTTTATATTTCCGAGCGCTTTCGGCTATACCTTTAGCCATTATCAAGGATGATTCGATTTTTCAGCTTAATTGAGTGTGTGCGTTCTGTTTATGTATTAGTGTGTGGTAGGGATGTTTTTAATTTCCGAATACGGTTAGCACATTGTGGCTTTGTTCGTAGTTAATATTGTTAAGAGTTGGCTTTTTCTTTTTTATTATTAAGCTTCCATTATTTTTAGTCTTTTTTTGCAGGTGGATGCAGTTAATATATTTGTGTTTTCTACTAGTATGTTCCTAATGGAATCTGGTCAATTTGTGTGTGTGTTTAAATGGGTTCTAATGGAGCTGTGATCAGATAGGTGTAACGCAATGCGTCTGGATAAGCATGTAGTTGTGTAACCGATGTAATTATTTATGAGTTTATATATATATATATATATATATATATATATATATATATATATATATAGAGAGAGAGAGAGAGAGAGAGAGAGAGATTTTATTGTATAATTCGCAATTCAGAAAAATCCTTGTTGAAAATACATCTATATCTTTTTTTACGAAAATAATAAACAAAAACTAAAAAATTTTCGGAGCTATCTATTTTAAAAAAGTGAAACCAAACCTTAATGAAAAATAATATGAATACTACACAAATGTTTTAAAATGTGTACAATAGATTGTTATCATTTATGTTTTTTTACCAGAGCTCATACTGCAATTTTCGTTGTTATTCTTGCTTTTCTCTGGCACTCCTTATTACTGTTTTCTATATTGTATTCATTTCTATACTTGGTCGGCTCAGGAGATTTTTGTGTCCTATCATATGTGCTGATTCTTTAAGTTTACGAATTTCCCAATAATGTTCTTTGTCCACGATTTCAACTTGATTTCACAAAGGGCGGTGATCTCCCTTTTCTCTCCATATGTGGTCAGCCACGCCTGATTTTTCCACTTCCCCTCGTGTTTCAGATTTCTGGTGTACTTGAAGCCTTACCTTAAGAGGACGACCTAGACATATACCCTTTATATTTCTTTCCGCAGCTGCACGGTCTTTAGTCATGTTCTCCTCTATTGGCGGGGGTCTTACTCGGGAGAGTTTTCTGCGAAGTGTCGTCCAGCTTTTGAAGCTTGTCCTGATGTTACATGAACCGTAGATCCTTTGTATTTTCTTCGATAACCCCTTCACATAAAGCAGGCAGACTATTTTCTGAGTTTTGTTGTCCTCCTTTAGTACCCGCCTATCTCAGTTTATTGGGGCTGCTAGGCCACAAATATCTGCTGAGCCGACCAGAACATCCATCGACAAACAAACTGTACCACAATCTGTACACGTCAGATCGAGCTGTCTGTGGGTCTCTTCAGGAATTTCATCAGGGACGCCTATACGCACATCTCTTTTAAGCTTTGTGTGCCTCCTTTACTCGTCCTAAAGGTAACACCTTCCCCTCCAAGCAGCCTCATTCCAATTATTGCGATCAGATGCACATTCTTCCCAGTGCTCATAGTGAATGTTGCATTTCCTCAGTGCATTTTTGACGCGGTTCTTTAAAGCTCATCTTATGTTTGACGGCATTTCTCTTCCCCGTTAGCAGCACACCATAAGAACAATTGTTTTGGAATAGGGCTTTCACCTATTCTGAGGAGATGGACCGCCCACCCACCAAAATTGATGTTTTAGTATCAAGGAATCAGTACTATCACAACCGCTTCTCTCTAACACGCCTACATCGCTATAAACATTTGCCAGGTAATGCCAAGGATACGACCTAAAGTAGTACTAGTGGATATATATATATATATATATATATATATATATATATATATATATATATGCTAGTAATAATCTTATAAGAAATTATACTCGTCCGGAAAACCTTCGGTGTCTTGATTTGCAAATAATCAAACAATACTAAAGGGAAAAAAAGGTATAAAAAAAGAAAGAACCAAGAACATGTACTTTAGCCGAAAATAATCGTCTAGCATGCAAGTCCAAAGTCCAAAGAAAAAAAAACGATACGAGTAAGCAAAATAACTAAGAAAGTGCTCAATACGTTAAGTAGTGCAGACCTAATTTTATATATATATATATATATATATATATATATATATATATATATATATATCATCATCTTCCTCTTGCGGCCACAGCCGAGATTGAACTCATCAATTCTTTGAGAGACTCCATTCACCCTCCTCTAAGAGCAGGTTTGAATTCAGAGTGTTCCTTCCCTAGACCAGTTG